TGATCTATAGTCTTTCTTTCAGCCAGATATTGAACCTGGTGATGTTGTGATAGTCATTCAAGTGAAACCTCACGACGTTTTTGAGAGGGAAGGAGATGATCTCATCGCGAAAAAGTAAGTATATTTGGCATGTACTGGACATTTTTGTAACTCTGTTCCTCCATCTATATTGTTTTGCTATTTCTGTTGTTTTAGAACTATATCGTTGAATGAAGCTCTATGCGGGTATGAAATCCCACTCAAACATCTTGACGGCCGTACTTTAATTCTTAAGAATAAGCCCGGAGACATTATCACTCCAGGTTTGTCGGAAAGAGTATGCCTATAATGTTGAACCTCCGTTTTCGTTTTATACGATCACGAAACTTACTACTCAGGATTCATAACAATATCTTCAACCTTATTTGCGCCTTACAGATTGTATTCGTGGCATTGTTGGTGAAGGCATGCCGCAGAGACGTCACCATGATCTTCGTGGCAACCTTTATGTTAAATTCGACGTAGAATTTCCAAATGATCACTTTTTAGACGATGATGTTAAGTACAAGGTTAATTTCGCGGTTATAATTCAGACTAGATTATGGGTAACTTACTGAATTTTGTAACGTTATGTATTTTAGCTGATCGAAACTGCATTCCCACCGGTGAGAAAGGTTGCATATCCGTCGAACTGTGAAGAGGTACCTTTTTTCAAGGTTGTATTCAATTGCAGCAGCCTGTTGTGTTGCGGTGCAAACCACGCATTATTTCTATGAAAAGCATAAAACAGAAATGCTATCTGTTAGTGAGAGTTTAAGATCATATACATTTATTGTTCTGGAACTGTTTGAAAGCTCTACATTACTAGGCTAAGTGTGTGCAATCAGAACTTGTCAACGGCGAAAACGATGAAGCATGTACAAGATACTTTCTGATTAATTCTAGTTCTAAACTGAAAGTTAAAGTTTAGGTTTCTTTGATGGAGTACGATGAGAAGCGGTATCGCGGAGGGAGAGGAGGACAGGCATACGAAGAGGACGGATCAGATGAAGAGATGGGTGGTCATCACGGGCCTC